ACATAGTCTCTGTGCATCAGTTAATGTAATCAGCCCACAGGACGGGGCATTGAATGGAAGTATTCCCAGGACCTTTAAGATATGAAGTTGGTCTGACGTACACCTTGAACAATAGATGTACAATTCATCACACACTGTATTTATTTGCTGGAGCGAAAATTCTCGAAGAACAGAATTTAAGACTTGGGGCAAACAGAGTCTCTTTTCTCCTCCAACCTGAAAACAAGAAATAGATTCCCCTTCCAACACAGTCTGGGTGAGTTCTGTGGAGCTATCAGAAGGGATGAGCAGTGGACCAGGAAGAACCTGAGGAGATGGAAGAGGCAGAAATACAGTTGGTGACATGCTTTCTTGGGAATACCGCGCGGAAAATGCTGCTGGTCCACCCAGAGAGCTCTGGCTACTTAAATGGAATTGTGCCAAAGTGTGCTTCAAACTGGGATTTAAATGTAAAGGTTCAGGCACCGAGGTACAGGTTCTCTTGACAAGCTCTCCATCAGTTTCCATTGGCGCTTCATAGTCATCCAAGTGTTCCTTCTTTACTGCTGGCATCTTGTTTATCATCATTTTTCCATTTGTATGAATGTCTGTCATCATTTTTTTCACTGGAGGGCTGCCGTCATCTGCCATCCCATTCATTTTCTTATTTGAGCCCTGAACCAAGGAGAAATTTTTCTGTAGGTTTTCCATTGCTAAAAACTATTGTGTTAAATAAGTAAGTCTGACACTTGCATTGTTATCAGCTGCTTATGTGAAGAGAGAAAAGTAGAGTATACCAAAACATATGGCAACTTACATAAGGTAAATTATAGAAAATTTCTATGGTAACTCAGAGAAAATTTAGGTTTCCAAAGAGAGATCTCCCTAAATTACTCAATAGATTTTGCAACTGTTTTTGCTCTGCTTATGCTCTAGCATAATTTCACTGCAAGTGCTATAAAATTTGTCTCCAATAATAAAGAATTTTAAGGGGCACACCTCTGGGGAAGCCTTTGTATTTTTAATTCTTCAGATATATGTATTAAAATAAAGCTACCAATTCTCTCAATTCAAGATTTCCAGGTTCAACGCAATGGTTTGGTTTGGTTTCAAGCGAAACAAGTCAAAAGTTTATGAAATTACTTGTGTCATAAAACCTAGACACAGACACAAGTCAAAATGATGCATCCAAATTTAAATTTTGGCAGCAAGACACCAAAAAAGGAAAAAAGTATCTTCTCTAAAAATGATAATCTGTTAGTCTGTGTTGACAAACTGAAGGCTTGTATAAATCCTCACACCAGTAAAAAGAGCCTCTGACTCCACTTGAACTTCTACAATTAAAGACGATTTAAAGAAAAATTGCCCCGTTATCTTCAAGAACTGCTGTTCATTCTTCTTTTAATTAATCTGGAAGAGAAGGGGGATGGGAGAGAGTTACATTTGAATTTGCTCCAGAGGCCAAAGGGTCAGTTTGAAACCAGTTTCTTAATCTTAAACTGAGTTCACCTTACCAAAGGTGACACCTAAGTGATTTCTTTACCTGTAACACCATTTAACTAGAAGAACATTCAATTAAATAGGAAAGCAATCTGGAGAACGGGTAAAGGGAAATAATATCCCTCAAAAGGGAGGGCTACTCCAATTCAGAATAGGAAGGAACTGAAAAAGATCATCTCACCCAAAACTCAGTACCAGAGGCTTCTCAATTGTGCCATTTTAACTAAAACAATCCATTAGAAAGAAAAAGAAACACCCAGTTTCATCCAAAAGATCGGATACAAGTTAGCATATCTACCACATGTTACAAAGTTACAATCTTAAGTGCATTAATTCATTTAGTCAGTGTATGCTATTTTTCTGGAATGATTGTAGGCAAAAATTAACTTTCCTTTAATAGGTTAGAGAATTTGCTTAATGGAAGCCAAAATGCTATGGCCTCCATGCCTGGGAACCTCCATCCTTGAAGAAGATTAGTCCAGGACAAAAAGCACAAGGCAGACAGACCTCACAAAGAATGCAAATGGAGGAAGAGGGAAAAAGAAAATATTCTTCCTCCACTTCCTTCCGAAGAGAAAACCCAAAAGAAGTCCAATATGAAGAAAATTTTGTCTCCCAAACTAGCAACTTACCGTAAAACAGCCCCAAAGGGTTAAAAGACCAAGGCCACTAGCCAACGTACTGACTTTCGCCCACCACAGGAACACCTAAGCCAACGCAAACCAAGGAAGGCGGCAGGAGGCAAGACCTAGAACCGGGGAGTCCCCGAAACCCTGAAATCCTCCACCCGCGCAAAGCCACCCACCCATCTCAACCCCGAGGGGGAGGAGGAGTGGAGGAGTGGAGGCCGAGGAACCCAGAGCCCTGGGCGTGAAAGGGGGTGGGGGGAGTGGAGGGAAAGGAGTCCCCCAACCCCCACCCGCGGTCTCGGGACAACCCCAAGTGCCCTCCTAACCCGGCCCCACTGCGGAGGCCGCGCGGAGGACTGTGGAAATCCCCCGCGCACCCTCTCCCCGGGAAGTTCTCGGGTGTCACCCCAGCACCCCTAAGGCTGTACCTACGCCCGCCCGGGGCCAGAGAGAGAAGGGTCAGCGAGCGGGTGGGGCGCCGAGCCGGGATCCCCGCGCCGCCCGGCGCCGACAGACTGGGTTGAGCCCCGGGCATCCCCGCGGAGCGCAGACGGGCGACGCGGGGAGGGGGGACGGTGACGGGTGTCCCAGTCTCCCGGGTTCCGACGGCTCGGGTCAAGTGCAGCGCCCTTGCCCTGCCCACGCCCACTGCCGGGGTCAGCGAGGCACGATCCGCCGTAGGTCAGCGGCCCCGCGCCCCCT